ATGTTGAGCATTTCTTCATGTGTCTTTTGGCCATTTGGACTTCTTCCTTTGAAAAAGTTCTGTTCAGTTCACTCGTCTATTTCTTCACTGGGTCATTGATTCTTTGGGAATTTAGTTTTTCAAGCTTCCTATAAATTCTGGTTGTTTATCCCTTGTCAGATGTATAGCTAGTAAGGATTTTCTCCCATTCTGTGGGCTGCCTGTTCAGTCTGGTAACCATTTCTTTTGCTATGCAGAAACTTTTTAGTTTTATGTTGTCCCATTTGTCAATGATTTCTCTTAATTGCTGAGCCATTTGAGTTTTATTTAGGAAATTATTGTCTATGTCTATATATTCCAATATATTCTTTATTCTTTTCTGCAGTAGTTTCAAGGTTTTAGGCCTTATTTTAAAGTCTTTGACTCACTTTGAATTGATATTAGTACAGGGTGAAAGACAGGGATTTAGTCTTAGTCTTCTGCATCACATACCCAGTTTTCCCAGCAGCATTTGTTGAAGAGGTTGTCTCTTCTCCAACAACACATTCTTTGGGCTCCTTCGTCAAAAATCAGATGGGTGTAGCTGGTCAGATTAATATCTATGTCTTCTGTTCCATTAGTCTTCCGGTCTATTTTTGTGTCAGTGCCATGTTTTTTTATTGCTATGGTTCTGTAGTATAGTTTGAAGTCGGGTATTGTGATACCTCCAGCATTGCTCTTGGCTATTCAAGATCTTCTGTGCTTCCAGATGAACTTTAGGATTGATTTTTCAATCTTTGTGAGGAATGTCATTGGAATTTTGATAGGGATTGCATTGAACATATAGATTGCTTCTGGTAGTAAGGTCATTTTCACCATACTAGTTCTGCTGATCCACAAGCATGGGAGATCTTTCCATCTTCTGTCACCTTCCATTTCTTTCTTCAGTCATTTATAGTTTTCATTATAGAGGTCTTTCACTTCCTTTGTTAAATTTATTCTGAGGTGTTTTAGTTTTTGAGGCTGTTATAAATGGGATTGTTTTCCTAAATTCTTTCACAGTCTGTTTGTGTATAGCAGGCTAGTGATTTTTGTAAATTGATTTTGTATCCTGCTACTTTGCTGATGGTGTTTATGATGTCTAGGAGTTTTTTGGTAAAGTTTTGAGGGTCTTTTAGGTATAAGATTATGTCATCTGCAAATAAGAATAGTTTGACTTCTTCCTTTCATATTTGAATTCCTTTTACTTCTGGCTAGAAATTCCAAAAACTATGTTGAATAAGAGTGAAGAGAGTGGACATCCTTGCCTCGTTCCTGACTTTAGAGGAAATGGTATCAGTTTTCCTTCATTTGACATGATGTTGACTACTGGTTTGTCATAAATAGATTTATTATGTTGTGGTACATTTCTTCTGTTCTTAATTTAATCTGAGCTTTTATCAAGAAAGAATTTTCACTGGGCACTGGTGTTTCATGCCCTTCATCCTAGCCACTTAGGAGGCAGAAATCGGGAGGATCACTATTCAAAACCAGCCCAGACAAGCAGTTCTTGAGACCCTATCTTGAAAATAACCAACACATAAAAGGGCTGTCAGAGTGACTCAAGTGGTAAAGCACCTGCCTAGCAAACATGAAGCCCTGAGTTCAAACCCCAGTGCTACCACAAACAAACAAAAAGAGATGTTGAATTTTGTTAAAGGCTTTTTTTGCATTTATTGAGAGGTTGATGGCATTTTTGTAGTGATCCCTCAGTCAACAAACATTGAACCTGTAATCCATACCAGGTGCTTAGGACACAAATATGGCTTTCATGTAATCAAAGTAGTGGAGGGATAAGAAAGTGAATTCTCCTTGTAGAAGACTCAAACAATACTCAGGTCTATTTAGAGTAAAAGGCAGTTGGCGCAGTGTTTTTTAGTAAACAGTCATGAAAATAACAGAAATGAGACTCATCTATTTCCCAAAAACCACTAAGTAACCAAAGTACTCAGGGAGTCATTAATTCCTATTTAGTATTTGGATCACTATGCATAATGTACCAAAATGACTTGATATATCAGTAATCTTTTAATAGGTTAAGGAAGTTTGTTTTTTAAAGATGATTTTAAACTGAGAAAATTTAGAGTATAAATATTACTACATCCAAAATAGAAATTAAACTAAAAATTTTATACCTTTGGAAGTTAATTAACTTGTGAAAATAATGTCAAAATGATTTTGGATCTTGGGAATTTTCATGAACAGCTTTGAGATGGAAATGCTGAGAGTGATTACATTGGGTAATTTGTGATCTACTTAGATATAAATTGATTGATGATCCATTGGGATAATTGAAAAGTCAAGCCATATTGTAATAAGACTGACATAGAATATATTGACCATCCTATGTAATTATTTTCATAGGAAAAGAATAAAGGTTAAATTTTATTTTGTTGAATGCTGGAATGATTTTTCACTTCTTATTTTATTTAATGTTTCACTTTTAAGTGAATGTAGTAACTGACTCACCTTTTTTTTTTTTTTTTTTTTTTTGGTGGTACTACGGTTTGAGCTCAGGGCTTTGTGCTTGCCAGGCAGGAGCTCTACTGCTTAAGTCATACCCTAAATCCTTTTTGTTCTGATTATTTTGGAGATAGTGTCTCACCTTTTGCCTGGACCAGCCTAGACAATAATCCTATTTTATGCATCCCACAATAGTAGGAATGACAGGTGCGCACCAAAGATCAATTTTTTTTTCCATTGAGATGTGATCTCATGGAAAATTTTGCCCCATTTGGCATGGAATTTTCCCCATCTCAGTCTCCCTCATGACTAGGGTTGACAAGCCTGTGCCAGTGCATATAAATGGGTGTTGGTTGAAATGGGGTATCCTGAACTTTTTGCCTTAGTGCCCTCAAAACCTGATCCTACTGATCTTAGCCTCCCAAGTAGCTAGGATTATAGGTGCTGGCTCACTTTTTTTTTAAATCAAAGAGCTTTTTATTTGCAACATTTGTTAATTTTCATGGTACAAAACTTCCATGATTGCTGATTAGTGTTATGATGCCACTGAAGGCAGAAGTGAGAAGCGATGTGCACAGTGGTCTTTGAAATCTTGTGTGGACCAAGTCCAGCATCCCTCTGCTTGGGTCTGACATTATACCATAAGTTGGGGATGAACTGATGAAGTACTTTACAATCCAAACTGGAGAAAGAGTTCTATCAGTCTGTCTGCCAACAAGGCTCAAATTCAGAGAACGTAAAGGGTGAACAGTTGAAATTATGAATTTCAAAGTACAGATTTTTAAAGGCACCATAAAAAGATACTTAGATACTTTTAAACAAAGAAACAATAATGAGAAATGAGATACCATCTCATTTCTTGTCACTTCATTTAGGACACTTACATTATAGTTACAATGAACATTTACAGTAAACATTGATAAAACTCTCACTCAGACATTGATCTGAACACTTCAAATAAACAATCTGTTACAGTCTTAAAAGTCTGTTATATAGATGACAAATTTGAGGAACATTTACTCAAGATCATATGGTGACCACAGGGTAATTTAAGATTAAAACACTCCCACATAGTCAGTCTCAGAGTATATGGTCTTAATCAGTCCTCAGACTGCCGAAAAATTATTACAAAAGAAAGCTACAAGAATGACTCAGTGCAATGCTAGCATTCCAAAGTTCAAGTTCACAAAGACTGGAAATATAGCCTAAAATATGAGTTTGAATCAGTTGAGTTAGAAGAACAATAGACATCACTAATAAAAGCCTTCCTTAATTTTTGCTGTTCTCTAAGGCAAAGTTACCCTCTAGGAATTATTGAGTTAAAATTTCAGTTTATTTCTATAATAATGTTTTTATGTAATGAAAAAATTATTACAGAAACATTGTCATTACTGGAGACTGAGTGAAAAATTGTGGCTGCATTTGTTAATCACTTTAATTTGTATCTTTGTGAGAGAAAATAAAGAAAGGAAGATAATAAGTAAGCAATACTTCGAGAGAAAAACCAACTGGCTTCAGAAAGCTGGAGAAATTTCTCATTATTTCTATTGTAAGGATTAGCCAAATGTTCTTCAGAATCGTTAAGTAATGCTGAGGCTGAATTGCCCTTTGATTTAATCTACTGATGTAAATCGTCTTTAATCCCACAATTACAGCTGATAAGAAAGGACTGCTTGTTTATATATAGGACATGAAATCCTTCACATTCATAACTGAGCTGTGTTTGTTCTCTTAGAAATCAAAGTTGACAGTAGCCCCAGAGGTGTTCTAATCATGGAGATGGGGCTGCTAGGTGTCTGAAGGTTTTGATTCAGAGGTGCTGTTTTTTTCGCTCTTCTCTTCCTGGCTGCTCTACTAAGGATTTCCATTGCCTGACTGTTACACAGCTCTGTCTTCTCCTCCTTAAAAACCATCCCTGTCCCTGTCACTCTGTATACAAATTCTCTGCTTATGTTCCAACAGAACTTCTCATTTCCTCACATTATTTCTTTGCTTGATAACTTAATGTCTGTTATCCCTATGAGAGAGGGGTCAGGGTTTGTATCTGCCTCGTTTACTATTGTGTGCTCAGTGTCTTGACTGGCAGGTGCTCACCAGCAGTCTATGGAATGACTCAAGGGTAATTCATTGTGGGGAGTGCTAGTTTTATGATATTTAGAGTGGTGTTAGTGATTGGCTATGAGCAATATACCAGCTGTGTTGAGAACATCAACTCATGCCTCATTGTCTATCCAAGGTTTTTAAGAAAACAAAAATATTATTTTAGACAACTCAGGCTGAAACAGGATTAATACCCCACAGAGGAAGGCCAATTTAGTCCACTAATAATTCAAGGAAATTATTTCAAATGAAATTTATTTCATTAACAATTTATTGAAAAAAATCTTTCCTTCAGTCTTAGGAGGTTTATAATACTGTTTATAGTACCTTGAAGAATTTGAGAGATGGGAACAGGTCATCTTCAGGGTTTTTATGCCATTACTTATTATACATTACTTAGGACATTGCTTAATTACAGTAATAAACATTTGTGTACTGACCTTTTTATCCCTCCAAATGTTTGTGCATGACCCAAGAATTTTCCAAAGTCAATATGAAACATATGGCCTGACTTTGTCAGCATGATGTTATCATTGTGACGGTCACAGACTCCCAGGATGAACGTTACTACACACCATCCGGCACAGGAGTAGAAAAAGTTCTTCAAGGCCTAATTGGTTGAGGAACAAAAGCACAAAAATCACAATTTCGATGAGAAAATGCATTAGCACCAGAGGCGATGGTACCAGTAAATAACTAAAAGCAAAACTGCATCATCAAGAGTCATTTCTACTCCTGAGTAGATAGAAGGGTATGGACCAGAGGCTCCTTCTTAATGGCTCCAGAGAACACATCACAGTCTCTCTAAAGCATTCTTTTTCACAGAAATTGGGAAAAATATCCTCTCATTCAGATATCCATAGTTTCCTGCAGGACTACTAGTGTAATTTTCAATGTCTCAATATACGATATTGAATTTTGTTCAAGGTAAAAGGAGATGAAAACAATATAGTCCAATATTGCCTCTCCCTGGAGGCAACATATAAAATATTTAAAATGTTTAAACATTTTAATTTAGGGAACACTTTAAAACTGTACTGAGATTTTTGTAACATTTTGTGCTTATCCTTACAAATAGATCATCCAGCTGATGTCTGAATGTGTTTTGAGACTGTACATATTACTGAATGCCTATGTAGTAGTGAAAGAAGATTACTACTAAATTAATTGTGGCTTATGTTTCTTTTTTCCTTTTCTTTTCTAAATGTTTTTATTATGGCAGTACTAGGGTCTGAAGTCATACCTCATCTTTGCTACATAGATGCTCTACCACTTGGGTCACACCTCCAGCCCATTCTTGCTTTAGTTATTTTGCTGGTGAGGTCTCACATTTTTTGCCTGAAGCTAGCCTCAGACCACCATGGTCTTCCTACCTACAGCCTCCCACATATCTGGGATCACAGGCACATGTCACCATGCCTGACTCATTGATTGAGATGGGGGCTGCCCTTAAACTGTGATCCTCTAGGTCTGTGCCTACTGAGTAGCTGAAATTGTAGACATGCATAATCATGACTGGCCTGTGACTTTTGTTTCATTCCCAAATTTTCCTCATTCCCAAAATGGTTTTCTGAGCATGCATCACTTTCACCAACGTGGTAGTATAATCATGAGTGAAGTTATAGGTCTCCTAGAAATGGTAGGACATGTGGATACTTTAGTTTCCAGTTTCTCAAGTGCCTGAGCAATTAATTGACTTAGTTTGTAAGTAAAGATAATAAAATGTGTCCTGTGACAGAGGGTTGTGAAGAGCAAAAGTAAGGGGATACTCCCTAGAGGACATAGCCACAGAGACTTGTGCAAAGCTCAAGTTGTAATCTTGGTTATAGCTAAAAAGGTAGATATCAAGATAATCTCATCTACTTTCTTATTATTTGAGTTCTAAAATCTGCACTTTGCTTTCCTCCAATCTCACAGAAGTATAGAATAGCTGAGCTCTTGGGTCTCTTTACAATGGTCGATGCTAGCTACTGTGAGCAATCCTCCTTGTTTGCCCAGAATTGGGGAGTTTCCCAAAACAAGGGAATTTCAGTGCTCAGGACCGTTCCAACTAAATCTACTGTTGGCCAACATTGCACTTTTGTGTGAATTTTAGATGGCTGTGCGCCTTGCCTCTGGGTGACCTAACTACATCAGTTTTTGGCTTGACAAGCAAAACAAAGCCTGGTTCTAGTCATACTCATTCCCTTGGCCAGGATTCATGGTAGAGGGCAGAAACTGCACAAATGTATGTTGTAGGCCAGATGTCAGAATATTAGAGACTGGGAGAAAAAAATGTGTTTATCTACCTACCTATCTGTCTGTCTGCCTGTCTATCTATCTATCTACAAACAATTGAAAGAATGATAGGTGAAAAAGTAGAATATGGGAAAAAAAGTTTAGCAAAAAAAGGGGTTATTTATACAAATTAGAGATTGTGTCTAAATAGACGGAGGGGATAGTTTTTGTGGGCACTGTCTCTGAGGTGAGATTACTGTCAGAGAGACAGCTTAGCAAAGAATCTTTATTGACAGCCAGGAATTTTATCCAGAAGGAAAGCCAAATGCAGAGACTTTTATCTAGTTAATACACCACTTAAAGTCGGTCATTATTGCAAGGCTGATGACTGAGTGAATTAGAAGTCAAGGTGTACTTAATTTACCCTCCCATAAATCAGAACATGTAATGACCCAGAGCACATTCTTATTTAAGTACATTACTTAAAGTCAGTTCCAGAAGAACAAACCTTTTCATAGTCTGCTTTGAAATGGTTGTGCTGACGGAACCACTTTTGGATTGTGTTTTCCTTCAGCGGTCCTATCAGCCCAGCATGGCGATGAATCTTAGCGAGGGGTACAGCATCAGGCACCATCTGCACCAACCCTGGTTGACAAAGAGGAGATTATGGGAAAAATTCTTCCTTCACAGGATGCAAGATACTTAGGAGATATATTTTGATCTAAATCACAACAGTTGCTAGCACTGCTTGGATTACCTTTTTACTTTCCAGACCTTTTCTGTGAAAGCCTTATCTAGAGAGGATCCTTTTAATTTATCCAAAATACTGGGATGAATGTAGCTATTGTTGGGTTGAATCAGATTTGTCAGAAGCAGCCAATCTAGATGACATCACAGAGATCCGCTGGGTCAAAAGAGGAGTGAGTTAACTGCCATACTACTAGAGTGCTCATTTCTGGTTAAAGGACATTAAGTCTACACAACAAGTATTTTTCTGCCTCAATTGAACAAAACACAGCTTCATAACATACTTTTCAAATACGTTGTAAAAATCTAAGTAGAAACACCACAATTAAATGTTACACTTGTGGGAGAACATCATTGCAATTTTGATAGGGATTGTGTTGCCATGTAGATTGTTTTTGGTAGTATGGCCATTTCACAATGTTGAGTCTACCAATCCACAAGCATGGAAGGTCTTTCCATCTTCTGATGTCTTCTTGAATTTCTCTCTTTATGTTTTATAGTTTCATCAAAAAAGGTCTTTGGTTTCTTTAGTTAAACTTACTACTTTATTGTTTTTGAGGTTTTTGTGAATGGAATTGTTTCTCTAATTTCTTTCTCAGTCTGTTCATTGTTATTTGTCTTTTCTTTTTTTTGGTGCTGGGATCGAACCCAGGGCCTCACGCATGCTAGGCAAGCACTGTACCACTGAGCTACATCCCAGCCCTGTTCATTGTTGATGTATAGAAAAGCTACTGAATTCTGTATGTTAATTTTGTATCCTGCTACTTTGAGGAAAGAGTTTATGATTTCTAATAGTTTTTTTGGTAGAGTTTTGGGGGTCCCTTTGGTATAGGATCATGTCATCTGCAAATAGGGATAGTTTGGCTTCTTCCCTCTCTGTTTGAATCCCTTTTATTTCTTGCTCTTGTCTTGGAATTCCAAAACTATATTGAATAGGAGTAGAAAAAGTGGACAGCCCTGTCCCACTCCTGACTTTAACAGGAATGGCTTCAGCTGTTCTCCATTTAGTATGAGGTTGGCTCTAGGTTTGTCATGTTTCACCTTTATTCTGTTGAGGAATATTCCTTTTATTCCTAGTTTTTTCAGAACTTTTATCATGAAGGGGTGTTGAATTTTATTTTTTCTGTGTCTATTGAGAGGATCATGTGGTTTTTGTCCTTGCTTCTGTTTATATGCTGCATTGCATTTATGGATTTACATATGTTGAAGCATCCTTGCATCCTTGGAATGAAACTAACTTGGTCATGGTGTATGATCTTTTTGGCAAGCTGTTGAATTCTGTTTGCCAGTACTTTGTTAAGAATCTTTGCATCTATATTCATTAAAGATATGGGTCTATAATTCTCTTTTCTGGTAACGTCTTTATTGGGTTTGGGGATGAGTGTAATGCTGGCTTCATAGAATGAGTCTGGTAGTGTTCTTTCCCTTTCTATTTCCTGGAAAAGTTTGAGGAGGATTGGTGTTAGTTCTTCTTTGAAGATTTGGTGAAATTTGGCTGTGAATCCATCAGGTCGTGGGTTCTTCTTTGTAGGGAGACTTCTTTATTACTGTTTCAATTTCATTGCTTGTAACAGGACTAGTTTAGGTGGTTAATACCTTCTTGGTTCAATTTGGGTTGGTTATATGCATCTAGGAATTTATCCACTTCATCTGGATTTTCCAGTTTATGTGAATGTACGTTTTCAAAGTACTCTCTAGTCATTCTCTGGATTTCATAAGTATTTGTGGTTATGTACCTTTATCATCTCTGATTTTATGACTTTGGGTCTTTTCCTGCCTCTGTTTTGTCATATTGGCTAAGGGTTAGTTGATCTTGTTAATGTTTTCGAAGAACCAACCTTTTGTTTCATTGATTCTTTGTATAGTTTGTTTGGTTTCAATCTCGTTAATCTTGGCCCTGATCTTTATTATTTTTCTCCATCAGCTGGCTTTGGGTTTGATTTGTTCCTGTTTTTCGAGGAGATTTGAGGTTCATGGTTAGGTTGTTTATTTGAGAGATCTGTTTTTCTTAATATAGGCACATATAGCTACAAACTTTCCCCTTAGCAGAACCTTTGCTGTGTCCCAAAGATTCTGGTAGGTTGTATTTTCATTTTCATTGGATTCTAGGAACTTTTTGATTTCTTCCTTTATTTCTTCGGTCACCCATTGGTTTTTCAGCAGTGTGTTATTCATTCTCCATGTGTTTGAATATTTTCTGTGCTTTCTTTTGTTGTTGAGGTCTAGTTTTATTCTGTTGTGATCTAATATGATGTAGGGGGTTATTTTAATTTTCTTGAATTTGCTGAGACTTGTTTTGTGTCCTAAAAGTTGATCTATTTTGGAGAAAATTCCTTAAAAATGTGCATTGCCTGGTTATTTCTTTGTTGATCTTTTGTCTGGATGACCTATCTATTGATGCCAGTGAGGTATTCAGGTCTCCTACTATCACTGTGTTAGGCTCTATCTGTGCTTTTAGGTCTGTTAGGATTTTTTTTTTAATGTAGATGGGTGCTCCTGTGTTTGGTGCATATATGTTAAGGACTGATATTTCCTTTTGATGAATTATGCCTTTAGTTAATATGAAGTGACCTTCATTGTCTTTTTTGATTGATTTTAGTCTGAAGTCTACTTTGTCAGATATGAGTATAGGCTACTCCCACCTATTGATGGGGTTCATTTGCTTGGAAAACTTTTTTCTACTCTTTGACTCAAAGCCAGTGTTTATTTTTTTCAGTGACGTGAGTTTCTTGTAAGCAATATGTGGTTTGATCTTGTTTTTTAAGCCAGTTTGCTATTCTATGTCTTTTGATTGGGACATTGAGGCCATTTACATTCAGTGTTAATACTGAGAGGTGCCTGTTGTTTCCAGCCATTTTTATTCCCCTGTTGATTAGTTTTATTGATTCCTTGTTTACTGGGTTGCTTGCTCAAAAAGGTTTATTCTTTCTTTAGTTGTCCTGTCTCATTCTAGTTTCTTCTTCTATATGTAAAAGTCCTTTAAGTATCTACTGTAGTGTTGGCTTCATAGTCACAAGTTCTCTTAGTTTTTCCTTGTTGTAGAAGTTTTTAATTTCTCCTTCAATTAGGAAGGATAGTTTCGCAGGATAGACTAGTCTAGGTTGGCAATTGATTTCTTTCAGGGGCAGAATTATATCTTTCCATGTAGAGTTTGAGTTGAGAAATCTGCTATTGTTCTAATGGGTTTGGCTTTATATGTAACTTATCTTTTCTCTTTTGCAGCTTTCAGAATTCTTTCTTTGTTCTGTGTGCTGAGTGTTTTGATTATGTTATGTCTTGGGTTATTTCTTTTTTGGTCCTGATGGTTTGGTGTTCTGTAAGCTTCCTGCACCTGGTTGACTCCCTCTTTCTTGAAGTTTGGTTAATTTTCAGCTATTATTCTATTGAATAGGTTGTCAATGCCTTTAGTTTGTACCTCCTCTTCTTCTACGCCCATGATTTGTAGGTTTGGTCTTTAATGGTGCCCCAGATATCTTTCATGTTCCATTTATTTCTTAGCATTCTTTCATGATCTTTTACTGTTTGGTCTAATTTCTCTTCTTTGTCTTCCATTCTTGATACTCTATTTTCAACTTGGTCCACTCTGTTTTCCAAGCTTTCAATTGAGATTTTTATTTAGGATATTGAGTTGTTTATTTCAGATTGATTATTTTTCAGCATTTCCATATTTTTATTGATTTCCTCTTTTGTATTTTGGATAGTCTCCTTCATTTCATTCATCTGTTTGTCTGTATTCTCTTTGAGTTCATTTAATTGTTTATTCATGTCTCCTTTGAGGTCAAATACTAGCTTTTGTGTTTCTTCTTTGAAGTCATTAATCATTTTTACTATTGTTTTTTGATTTCTCTTCCTCTACTCAGTTGTTTAGATCCTCAGGTGGAGTTGGCTTTTGAGGGAGAGCAGTTGTCTTACTGTTTCATTCTGTGTTGAGATTTATGCATCTAGAGTTGTTTTGGGTTAGGATTTTAATCCCTTGTGCCCCTATAGTTGGGGTTTTGAGTTTTTTTTTCTCCTGGCGCTCCAGCAGTTTTCCTCAGAGTGGGTATGCTGGAAATGTTACCCCTTCCAGGGTTCTTGTTGTGGTGCGGATTACCTCTTTTCTCCCCTCAGTGAGGGGGCTGGAGTTCCTGCACTTTGATAGGGGTGTGGGGATTGTCCTACAGTCACAGTGGGGAATGCTGTCTCTCTGTGCACTCTGGGAGGCAGGCATCTTAATACCTGCGGAATAGTGGACTACCACTCAGTGGAGGAGCTGGGGTTCCAGCTTTGGGCAGGAGAGATGGGATCCTCCTGCAGGGAGGCAGGGGCTTTCCAGCTGTCAGGCACAGTGGGGAGCACTGGCTTCTGTGTACCTTGGGAGGCAGGCCTTCTGGTGTCACTCACTGAGTAGGTTACAGCTTTCCTCCCCTTAGTGAGGAATCTAGTGTTTTAGGTCTTTAATGGAGAAATGGGAGCTCTCCCGTTGTTGGGCACAATAGGAATCACATGTCTTAGGGAAGCAGGTCTTGTCACCTACAGAATAGCAGATTAGCACTCAGTGGAAGAGTTGGGTTCCTGCCCTTTGATAGGGCAGCGGGGGCTCTCCTGCAGGAGGGCTTGGTGTTTAATGCTGGGTCTCCATGCTTTGTGGAGAGAGAAGCCTCCTGGCACCAGCAGAATAACAAAGCATGGAACCTGATGTTCACTTACATATGTGGCAACAGACTCTTGGCATTGAGTAGCAAGTTGAGGGTACCCTTGGGGCAGCAAAGCAGCAGGCTTGAATTGTCTGGTGCTCACAATACAGCAGAGGCCCTGGGTCTACCTGTTGGAACATGGGCTTCCAGGAGCCACGCAGCTGCTGCAAGCATGGAGGAACCAAGCCTTTAGGCAGCCGGAGTTCTGGGGCCTGCTTGCCAAGTGTGACTCTAGGAGGGCAGTACGGTAGCACTGCAGGCATGGGGAACCAAGCCTTTGGGTACTGGGTGCCCTGGGGTCTGCTTGTCAGCATAGGTTACCAGGAACCATGGCAACTATGGGCATGGGGGATTCAAACCTGCAGGCAGTGGGAGTTCTAGGGTCTGCTTGTCAGGTGCCTGCAAAGGTCTACCAGGAATCATGGCGGCTGCAGGCTTGGGGGATCCAAGACTGTGGGCAGAGAGCGTTCTGGGGCCTCTTTGCTAGCGCAGGCTTCTGGGAGCATGGTACAGAGGCTGCTGCTGGCACTGGGGAGCCAAGCCTGGGGGCTTGCTCCTTTTGTCACCTGTGGAGCAGCAGGGGACCTGGGTCCTGCTATACAGAGGTGCCTGTTTCCCTGGTGGTTCAGGGTGAAGGTAGCAGGTCATGTAGTTGGAGGAAGCATGGAGATCTGAGATCCTGTGTGTGCAGGGAAGCAGGACTTAACGCAGCAAGTGCTGAATAATGGAGCCTGGAGCCATGCAGATACTTCAGGAGTGGGGGATCGGGAGTGTTGAGCTTCAAGTTGTCCTTCTCATTCTTCCCATGGTTAGTTGCTTCTCTATTTGTGGATTTTGAGAGTGCTTTGTTTCCTGGTGGTTATGTGACCCAGGGGTTCCTTTTGGGGTCCTCTGATCTCCCTTCTTCAGGGTAGTTAGTCACTGTTGGAGTATAGGGATGTCAACAATCCACCATCTTGCTCCTCCTCTAGCATGTGAATATTTACAAGCCTTCTGACTTTTTTGTCTGCACCAAATAGCAGTTTGAACAGTATTTAAAATTCTCCCAGGAAGAATATCTACAAACAACACTTAATGCACAGTTTTAAAAATAAAATCACCAAAAGAAATTAAAATCTAGAATTCTGATTCTCATAATCTTTACAGTTGCAAGAGTTGCAAACTCAAATGCTCAGAGGTATGAGAGCCACACACTCACACACACTCACAGACACCTCCCCACACACTCACACACATACTCACACACACACTCACAAACACACTCACACACACAAACTACGTGAACAGAGAGACAGATGAGTTTTTAAAACTGACCATTTTCTTGAACAGTAGATATTCAAGATGCCTTGGAACCTGATGAAAAATACAACCCAATCTTCTAAAAATGATATTTGTTTTAATGATCTCTATTTTTCATAAAAAAATGTTTTGTCAATATAATACCCTATAAAATCTTGCAACCATGGAAGGAGAGGGGAAAATAATTTGTTTGTCATATTATGTTGCAATTTTTTACAAGTCTATAATTGTTTTTGCTGAATCCTTTCATTGACTTTAAAAGATTTTGCCTCAGTTGCATACAGATTGCAGACAGATTTGAGTGGACAAATTGAGGATGTCCATTGGGATCAATGATTTATTAAATTTCTGAAGAAAAGGTAATCTATGTGACATCAAAAAGCTAGGCCTGGCTCCTTTAACTTTATCCTTACTTTCACAGCATATTAAGATAGGAAAGAATTAGGGCACTTAGGTGAAATGTGAAGAATAGCAATCTCATGATTATAAGACTTTTTTTCTAAGAAATAGACAGTTAGAATAGGTTTAGGGGTGGGACACTTGGCTTGAAACAAAAGCCCTCCTATTAGAATCAAAATAATTTGGTTATATAATTTATAACAGAGTCCTTCTGAAATATCAAATTGTGAGTTAAATTAGCTGGGTGGAGCTTCCATGCTTACCATCTAACTCCTCAACTCACAACTGGCTGGGATACTGAGTCTGTTGGTGGGGTCTTAGAAACTGAGGAACCAGGTCATGATGGTACTTCTGTGACAATGGCTTTAAATTGTAGCTTTCTTGAATAAAAACAAATGACTACACAGTCTAGGTCTCTTTTAAGTTCTCTGTGTATGCTCATGGATCTGTTAAAAATCATATCAATTTTATGACATTTGAGGGGGCAATGATAATATTTTTAAAAGATTATGATGTCTTAGGAATTGCTTTTTTTCTTCAATTTTAAATGATTATAATTAAGTACAACTTTTATATTAAATATTCGGTCATGATTTTGGTGGACATTGAAATTATTTTCGTTATAAATGTGTATAAGTGCAACTATATTTCCCTATTAATTTCTTGGTTTATGAAGGAAAGGTAGTATTGCATCTTGTTCAAAGTTTGCTTGTTTGGTCATTTTTGACTATTGATATTACAGCTATTCAAAAGTCTTTTAGAAATTAAGTTCAGGTTTACAATGTGCTTAGAACTTTCACAAATCCTTTAAATATTTCAAATTATAAATTTTGTGTTATTAGGTAACAATTGTTCTTATTTGCATTGAGTAGTCTCTTCAACAATAGATGGTCCCAGACTTAAGATGGTTTGACTTGCAAAAGTGATATGCATCAGTAGAAAATGATGCTTCAAAGTTTGAATTTTGATCTTTTCCTGGGCTCGCAATATATGCTATGGTGTTATCATATGATGGTGGGCAGTGGCAGTGAACCATACCTCCCAGTCAGCCATCCAATCACAAGGATAAATAACCAATGCTCTACAATGGCTGAACTATGACATCAGCACCACAGATGTCAAGAAGCATCTATAGTATCTTATGAAATGAGAAAAATGAGTTAGTTATTAATGTAACTAACTCCTAAGGATACACAAAAGAACATCAGGGTTAACATTTGATTACAAAGTCCTAGTGAATATCTAAAAGCATATTATGCTTTATATAAGTTATTTTGGCTTCATATTTTTGGTAATGATTCTCTTAGAAAAGAAGACTGTAAATTGTTCTTTGGAGTTTTGAATTGGGGGTCTAAAGTAAAAGTTGTAAAGTTTTCTGGCATGTCACCAGTGAATATGTAAGAAACATGACGTAAATCAACACACTTTCTAATCTACACTGACCTTGGTCTTTTCCTGTGGACAGGCATCTATAAATGATCATCTGCATATCTAGACCTTCCTGCAGCCAAATGTTGTCCATCACTTGAATAATCTGCAGAACAAGCATATCCTGACGAAGATCGTCTCCAGCCTGTTAAAAACAAATTACAGGTTCTGGGTTTCTCCTTCAGTTCCCTTAAAAGCATTCAAATCTGGCAGATGTCATTTCTTGGATAAATTTCCAGCCTGAATTAAGGTGGTTTCACTTGTTTTATTAGCACTAAAAGTACCTTATGTTTCTGATAGAGGATCAAAGAAAATGAGACGTTCCCTTTAAGTGGTTGCAGAGACTGCAACAATCAAATGAGAAGCACTGCTTGGAATGGAAATAATCTTTCAATTTCTTATCCACATGCAGTTCCTTAGATTCAAAGTCTAGTGAACAGAGGCTGAATGAGTGTTTACCCAAGTTTCAAACTCTACCAAGAGAGATTTCTCTTTAAGTCATGAATTTATGCACTGATATGCAATTAGAATACCAGGAGTGTCTTGACTTTGCATATAAATAGTACACATATGAGTCAGCAACTGTGAATCAGTGACTTTTCTAATTATGGAGGCAGCAGAACAGTTCTCAGAGAAAAGTGTCTTTGATAATCATAAGAAATGATAAAGGGTTGATTTTCTAACAGAAGCAAAAGAAATGCAATGTGTCCAAGGGGAAGGTTATTTCTGGGCTTTTAAACAAATAAGCAGTTTGCTTTCAAACATGCTTTCTAAATTATACACAGAAAATTCTGCCAAGATGAGATTTTCTGGTTTTTTTTTTCACTTCATTAAAAAGACCCTGTCATGGGACCACTAAATCTTGAGTCTGTACAGGTCAAAGCAAAAGTGTGGGCGTGCTAATCCTCAACTTCAAAAACAGAAACTCAAAATCCACCAAAGATTCACTCTGAGACTTTGCTGAATAACTGACTAAAGTAACTGGGTGATTGCAAAGTCCTACTTTTTACTACCGCTCTACTACCTGACTATAACCCAAGTACTACCTTTTACTTTCTTTTCAGTCCTTATAAGGAGGACTGAATAAGTCTTTATTTACTTTTTACTTACAAAGAAGAAAATAGCCCAACTTACTAAAATAGGCAAGTACTTACAGATACAAATTTTATGTTAAATTAATTTTATACTCTTTAGATTCCACCTAATTTAGATCCTATTTCAGTATCTAGGCCAAAAACAAACAAACAAACAAAACACCTCTCTCCTCTAAGGAGTTTACTATAGCTTCTCCTTTCTGTGCTGCTCAAAAGTGATTTTGTGCCTTCATCTATTAAAATGTATTCTCTTAAGTTTCCACTGAAGGTTCCCTGGCTTTGAGCCAGTGATGTTTGATGTATTACCAATCATACTTTGGCATGTACTATAATTCTGTAAAAAGGCAGAATCTAAAATAATTGGGAAACCTCTATGTTGTTGCCAGAGGAAAATAGCTGCAATTATTTCTTCTTGTGAGTAATAAATCGGTAGTTCTGCTTATGGAATCAATTTGATATTTTAGGAAGGCTACTGTACCTTAAAAATAATGCTGATGTTTTTCCCCATTGGATTAGCATTGATGAAAGTAATCTTCAATGGCAAGGCATTAGATGTGAAATATGAACATGCCTTTTGAAAGGGAAAGAGAGAAAACTGGTGAGCAAAATAAAGCAAAAGCACCTTTCCTGAAATCATGGCCCCTCACAGAATGTGTTAACTGAGCAAACATAACAGGTAAATAATTTTTAATTTGGAACAAAGAAATACATCTATTCAAAGTAAACAAACAAACTTTTGTCTCCTAATCAAATTTTTACAACAGTCTACTTTCTTCCAAGTTCTTTCTGCAGTTTTAGATATCTATAGTCAATCATGGTCCACAAATACTACATGGGAAATCCCAGAAGTACATAACTCATGTTTAAAATTGCACACCATTCTGAGTAGTGTGGTGAACACCTGCATCATTCCAACCCATCGGACCCAGTGTGAGATCATCCTTTTATGCAGTGCCTCCCTGTTGTATATGCTACCATCAATTGTTAGTCAGTTGCCAGCTCGGTTATTAATTGACTCTTGCCTTGTGGCAGTGCTTGTGTTTAGGTCACCCTTATTTTATTTAATAATGGCCTAAACATGCAAAAGTAATGATACTGGCAATTTTATTGCAGTATATTGAGATTGCTGTTCTATTTTATAGTTAGCTATTATTATTAATTTATTGTGCGTAATTTATAAATTAAAATTTGCTAAAAATATGTGGAAAACCAATATATATATATAATTTATACACACACATACACACACATATATAATTTATTTCTTTTCAATGACTTTTGTCCTGCAGCATACTTTAAGGAAACATAGTTACAGAGTTAAGAAAGACCTGAATTCAAACATGAACTCTGTAACTTATTAGCTACAAGACCTTGAGCAAGCTATTTAACATGCCTGTATCCCACTGTAAAATGGAGATAACAACCCTTACCTCACACATTCTGGTTACACTATACGAGCTAATAGATCTAAAATTCCTTTTACTGTGCTTGCCACTAGTCAGGAACTTTGAATACTTCTCATCTTCTTTTTTTGTTAATGAACATTTTCTTCAAATGACAGTACAACATGTATTTCATTTCCTCATTTCTTTCAATCACATTTTGTATTTGCATTTTCAGCTTTCTGATATTGCCCATTTTTCACACATTTTTTTTTCTCACAGTTGAGTGTTCAGAGGGAATGTGTTTAGGTTACTAAAGAGTTCATGCAGAAAGGGAAGAGTTAAATCAATACTAAAGGAAGAAAAGGGATTTGATGCTTTCAATTTATCAACAGTAAAATATGACATCAATACATATATCCTTATCTCTGACATGTCTGAAATCAGTGCAAGCTGGGAAGAAAGGATCTATTTCTTAACTCACTTGTCAACACAAATCTAACCCTAATCCCTAACCAAACACAAATGCTTTCCTACTGAATCAATTTGAGTTTCATGGTTTTCTGGATGAGGCTGCTTGTTAATCATGAATTTCTCCTGCAAGAATCAGTTAATTAGGGATCGTATGATCTTGTTATGGCATAGAATTAAGAAATCCTATATTAGGCAAGAAATGAGTCTACATTTTTAGTTTTCAAACTCTGCAATCCAATTTGTGGGGATCTCTTAGTGGGATCTCAACTCTAGAGAAGAAGTATGGGTAAAAAGGAGGCTGTAGGCAGGACTTAGCCCCTTTTCTTATCTATTACCCAGACCTATTCTGCTCTCCTTGTTTCTTGATTTTCACATGCAGTATATTTTTGGGGGTCAGTCAAAAATATGAGGTACTGATGGCTCATACCTGTAATCCTGGCTACTCAGAGGTACAAATGAGGAAGATGGCAGTTCAAGGCTAGTATGGGCAAATAGTTCACGAGACCTTATCTTGAAAAAAACCCATCACACACACAAGAAAAAAGGGCTGGTGGAGTGGCTTAAGGTGTAGGCCCTGATTTCAAACCCCAGTTCCCCCCCAAAGTAATGTATATTCAAAAACTAGAATGCATAAACCATTATCTATATACTAACAGAAACACCACAACCACACTCAAAGAGCCTACAAAAATTGGTATGAAAATATTGAAGTATTTATTATGTTTAAAACATTTCACAAGGCAATTTATTACAGCTGAATGAAGAAGTGTTTGAAGAAGAAAGTCTTGTAGGAGAAAACTCAATTTTGAAGACTGCAAGGGACCTAGATTAGCAAATAGGCAGAAGAAAGGGTTTTCTAGGTGGGAAAAGACAAACTGTGAGAAGTAAAGGAGACCAGAAGTCGAAAAGTGGATTGAGATGGCCATAGCCGAGAGAAAAGAAGGAGTGCATCACAGTCTTTGCAAAATGATTTTATGATAATGGTTCACAGAGAAAGGAAGACATTATCCTTGAGAAGCACAGATTATTTCCCATAGACCAAAAAGTAGATAACAAAACAGAAGCTTGTAAATAAATGAAATGTCCGGTCCTTGCCTTTTTAATGGTGGAGATGGATTGTATTAAGTTACTCTCAACTCTCCCATTTGGTGAGTCAAAGAGAAGGAGGGATTGGCTATTGTGATTAGTGGTTCCCACAGAGGACATGATTGAGAATTCTCAATCTTAAGACCTTGCTCTGTGCTTTTGAAAGCCATGTATCAAGAAATGGATTGAGCCAGGCCTGGGTGCTTCTCCCAAGGCACCATCACTGAGTGGTAGAGATACCATCTGGAGTAAACACTTTCCCACACTTACAGAATCCATAGGGATGTTTTTTCTTATATGAAATCTCTGACACAGAATAAGACATTTTCTAGGATGGAGTGCCTTGCCACACTGCATTAAAAACATTTTTCTGTGGTATGAATTTTCTCATACTCAACAAGAGTTCTGAATGAAGGTTTTAAGGAACTGCCTACACTGATAGGCTTTTCTCCCGGCATGGAGAGTGTGATGTTGAATAAGGTGTTGATTCTGACTGAAGATCTTGCCATATTAATTAACTTGTGAGTTCTCTGATAGTCCACAAGGGTTTTACCAGGACATTTACCTCAACTATAAAGTTTCTCATTTTATTGCTCACCAGTACTAGAGGACTGATTAAAATGTGCTCCAGGACAGTGTCACTTGGCTATGTCTTTCCTGTTCATGCTGTTCCACAAATACTCAGACCTGTTCCAGGCATAGAAGGGCAGAGAAAACAGGTCCAAGAAATGGCTCTACTTAGGGCAGCTCTTGAACTTCAGAAAATGTTGGCAGTGTAGATGCATAAGGAAAGGAATATTGTCCCAGCAGCAAAATAAGGGGTGGAAACTTCCAGGCTGGTGATCCCTGCTCAGGCAATGCACCCTGTCACTCCAAGGATGACTTAGTGCCAGAAACCCCCACCATCAAGGCCAGACAGCCAAAATGCACATGTAATTTTAATTGAAACATTACTCTACTCCTTAAAAAAAAAACACAAGAAAGATAAACCAAAAAGCGACACCTAGACAATGGTCCTTATTGGTTTTTCTGTGTTAAGATACAGTATCTTTAAAATGCTGAGTTTCTATCAGTCTTCCTCATTAATCAGTAAATATTGCTAATGAGTGAAAAGTCAAATCATTTAAAAAAGATTAGTCATGATTTAGATTTTAGCCTATAAAATCTAAATAAGGTAACTTAACTTAGTGCCTTATTTTATTATTTTGTAGAGGGTCCTGGTAGTAGCAAAGCAATAAAAATGATGGCATCAAGCTTTTAAGCAAAACTTTTTATACTTACACTAATAATAGTCTAATTTTTCTCCTATTTGGTTTGTTTTCTCTACTGTCTTATGACTTAAGTAGCATTTGTTATGGATGTATACAACTTAACCACTTCATTCTTAAATGTTACTTATTGTTTTCCCTATTAGTGTCTTTCTTTGCTTGGATTTTTGAGAAAGAGTATAATAAAATTTAGCTGGAACAAAAGAGAAAGAATGATCCTATTCAGAGAAGGGTGACAACTGAGGCTCCATGTGACAGGGAATTAAGAACAAGTTTAGGAAGATGTGAGTCTGAAAGTACCAGAAAGGGCTTTTCAGTCATGAGTAAAATCACAGTGTGTGATATTGCACACTGACCTATGGGCACCGATGAATTTTAAATTGAATAAAATGGAGATGATGTAGCTAGTGATTACTACTCGTGTTATATGCATAGTGTAAATAAAGCATGAAATTATAGCCAGCTCTCCCACCTGGGCTGTCCCTTAGTGACTCAGATGGAATTGAGGATGGTCCAGGCATCAGGTCACCAAATCATTCACTTTGAATAAGTAAAAAAAAAGTACCTTTTTATCCCTCAGTGAATTGATGAATAGCTTGTTTCCAAACCAACAAGTGATACAATAAAGGTCAAGTGATCCCAATTGTTCATATTGCATCAAATAGTGTGGATGGGATTCAATTACTTTTTCCTTGAAATGATTCTAATGTCTGTTTATGAGTTCATTATTCCATAGAAAAATATACAATTCAAAAGAGAAATTTATTTACTACATAAGTTGACTTACATCATGATCAATTCCTTTTATGCACAGGGCGGGGTTCAGAGGAAGATGGCAAGTATTTATATCTCGAAAGAATTCTTCTAGCCTGCTGATCTCTCTTTTTAGTACCTCCTGTGAAATGAATCATTAGAACAAAGCATTTCAGAAACTGTCAAGAACTTGACTTTTCTTTCAAATTATCACTTTCTTTTATTGATTAAATGAACTCTTTAATTCAGGAGTTGCATATGTGGATGACTTTGAGGTCAAGCAGATGATATGTGTCAGATGAAGAAGCAGCAGACTAAAGACAATAGGGAGTGCTGGAGAAAATGGGTGGGGGCCAAAGAGTGAAGCCCTTTCTCAATGATTCTAATTCAGTTAAAACAAAGCACCAACCAAAGTCTTATACTGCACAAACAAGTCACATTGCATTGGACTTGACCTGTAGCCCACCAATTTGTAACTCCTACTTTAAGTAATTGTTGACATGATCTTTTCCTGATAATTTCCTGGAATCTTACTTTAAAATTCTCAAGATTTACATTTAATAGTAATAATGCATTTTAGAAACATATTTACATACATTAGTAACATTAATGACAAAAATGATGGTTGCCTAATGCTGCCAGAAATAATTTATGTGAACAAATACTTTACCAGATGTTAATGAGTATATTTATGAAACTTACACCCTTCCATATTCCACAGACTCTGAGATCAGAGAGCACAGACAACACCAACACTGTTCACACAAAAAGTGCCAGGAAGCAATCATAGTTCATTATAAACCAAAAAGCTCCTTTTAGCCCAAATTTGAAATCTCTTTTAGCCAAATGCTAGAGATGGTAATATTAGATTAATTATAGCTCTTGAGAGTTTCTTAGCTCTTACTCTTGACTCACTGGCAAATAGTAGAATCCATTGCTTACAGAATCCAGAAAAGCAAGATAGAGAATGATGCAAAATCTCACTACAGATGGTACTCTTTCTGTTTCTGTCCTCCTTGTCTTATCTAAACATGGGTTTGCCTACTGAGTATCAGAGAGGGGGATCTCTGCTCCCTTTGTTTAAATAAAATACATCCTTCACTTTTTACAGGTAGGTTTATTTTAGTGCTCTTTTTAAGTAGAAAAAAATAGCTATCAGTAACTTGAATTGTGATAAACTATAATTGCCTCTCCACTTCTTGCTTTTTATTTTCCTATTTTCATGTAAAGAACTGTCCTCACAAAAGCTGCCAGTTTAGGCAAGAGTAATGTATATTTTTTTGCACATAATGTTAGTACACTCTGGAGCTTGATGCACATTGTCAAAAAAGGCACCAGGACCATTTAACCACAGTGGGCACCTTGAATATATGAGGGATTTAAAACATGAGCCTATACTTAAACTTCTGTGATTTTTTAAACCAGTTTATTTTGCTTGCTATCAACTTTTTATTTGCCACTAGAAAGTAATTAATGATCTTGCAGCAATATGGAGAAATCACAGAATTTTTAAACAATCTGCACAGTCTATCTTGTTAGATGTCTTAAGGTTCCTCCACGAATCCAAAGTCTACATGTCTCCCATTTAAAGTAAGTTCCATATCATGCCTTTTATTTTCCATTTACTACTATGTAGGTGAAATAGCATAGCTTCTGGAATTTCTATTAAATGAAGTGACTTCCAGTAAGAAAAATCTTGGTAAGCACGTGAAAGAATCTTGGGACATTTTGCATATTACTATTTTCATATCATTTTATTAAAAGCTTTTGTTGATTTTAGACAGGAGTGGAGAGAAACTATGAGTTCCCTTGAAGACAAGACTTATGCTTAACTTCTATAGTAGGTACCAAATAATTACTGAGCATTGTTCTCAGTACAATGGATGGATGTCTACTGTTTCCCTGCATGTAGAATGTTGAAATTAGGAGAACTTGCTTAATGGTCTCTATCAGTGAAGAGAACCAGTGGTGCAGATAATTAAAAACAGTAACTGTGCTTCTGTTAGATCAAGGAAAAGAACAGCTAGCTCCGTTATTGTAATCAGTGAGAAAGACAGACTGTTCGAACAGTCATCCATGGATCTTACTATAGAAATATTGCTATTCCTTCCATTATTGGTTTGTTTCATTTACTTCATTTTATTTATGGTAGCAAAGAAAAATTTTAAAAACTGTGGATGTGTTTAGGGCAATGTTAGGAAAATGTAGATCTAGATTATGTACTTTCTCCCCCAATTCTGAGTTGTGCTGCCATTTTAAGACATCATCAGGCCTTTTTGGCCAAACTGACCTCAAGTTGGTCTCATTTTATTAGGTCCCCTCTGTGTGCCTCATGGGTACTTACGTCAAAAAGCCACACCCTGGTGATAGGTTATTATCATTAACGTTAGGAAGGTAAGTGGAAAAAACTTGATTGAATTAATTGATTTAAGTGTCTTATAGCTAAGTATTGTCAGGGAATTTGTTTTCTAAGAAATGAAATTAAAACCTAATTGAACCAAAGTTAAAAAACTAGTTTTTGCTACATCAACATTGATTTCTTAACACACCTGTCTTTGAGGGTCACTGGCTGACTTGACTCTTTCCCCAATATGTCCCAGAATTTTGACAAGTTTCCTCTCCTTGGAAAACTCATCATTTAAGGCTTTTCCTACACAGAATTGGAGAGCAGCCAACAACTTCTGATACCAGCTTTTAAAATAAGCTTCATTCTGTGCATCCATTAGCAGCCTGAAGGAGAGAGAGAAAAAGAATTCTTGTGTCAAAAACTGATTTTTAACCACCTCCAGCAGGAACAATAAGTACATTTCAGACTAATCTGTATTTGGTGGTTTTAGGCATTTTAACAGCTTAGAATGGGGGAAAATATTGTTTATTTGTTGGCAGTCATCAAATTCTATCTAATAGCTAATGAAATTCTAAGAGTGAAGAATCAATAAGAGAACCTGTCTTTTCTCATTGTGATTCACAAATTTTCTTCTTTCAGTCTTCTTAATTCAGTAATACTTATCTCAAGAGCATCTGTGACTTATTAAAATATCAACAAAGAACTTTCAAATTACTTTCTCCAAGTGACTATTCTATATTGTGACTTAGCCATCAAGTTCATCTCTTTCTCCTTGCCTTCAAAGTATAATATCTGCACACTGTCACAGACCTTTGCAGTGCTATTCCCTTAGTACTTCCCCTTGATAACCTGCAGGAAGTTGCTGTAAAGGCAAGAGCATGGTTGTTTTGTTTGCAGACATTTCTGGACTCAATTCACAGCTTTACAATTTACAAGCTACTTAACTGGGCTAAGACAATCTTTCTTTATCTGTAAAATAAGGTAATAACTCTGATTCTACAGAGTGATTTGAAAGTGCTTAGCACAATGTAAGTAGTAGGCAATCAAAAAAAAATCAGTCCATCTATATCTTGCAGCCTTCCTAAGTCAACTCCTGTCGCCTGGTAGTCTTTGCATGTCACATATATGGGAAGCATAGACCATGAAGAAGTATGGATACTTTGTAAGACAACAGAGCAGTGACAAGCATTTGATTACTTTGTCTGCCATGTGACAGTTTTTATTGCCTTGAAAACAATTACAATATGCTAAAACTTTACTTTCTATTATATCCTAAAACACTGAAGTAGAATAAAAAGAATAATTCTTTAAAAACTTAACTACACTCAGATTGGTTCATTTAATCATGATTGGTCTTTAATTTTCCCCTCCTCTGAAAAAAAATTAGCATTCAAGGAACTAGAGGAATAGAATATTGAAAAAAATGGTTTGGGGCCAGTAGCCACAATATACATTGGTAAGTTTCATTCTGCACTTCTATCTCTGCATCTCTGCCCAATACATTCTAACAAACACATTATTTTTATTTGTTCAGTGATTTTAAAAGTCAGTTGAATAAGTCTGATGTAAAAGTGAATGCCTGCTTGTTTGTCATCCTTACAAAGTCAACTTATATCCAAGATTCTCTATTATTTTCCCAAAGGAAATATACATTGTATGCAAAACAACAGTTCTTTCTTACTTGTAGACAGTCTTAAAAACACATACCCACGAAAGAACCTCAAGTTAATGATGTATCACAGGAAGCGTATACTCTTGATATCTGGTTATTGTCAGTGGAAGGAAGGAAAGCAGACCATGTGAAGTTTTCTTACCCACCCCTCTGCTGAGAGTTTTGAAATGTAAGACCTGTAATACAATCTCACGTACTTTCAGATGCCCACTGCACCCAAGGACTGTGGTAATATACTATTTCATAGTCTACTTGGGTTTCAGTGAAATAGGGAATTGATGGATAGAGTATTTGTGTATCCCATAAAAATGTTTGTCAACATATTCATAAACTTCAAATACTGGGTTTTTTGGAAATATTTTTAACCTGCTCTAGTACATAAATGTAACTCAATAACCACCCAACTGAATACATATGTATGTATATATATATATGTATAGATATGATTTAAAAAGTTATACTGCACAAATGAAATCCACAACTTCTTACTTAAATAATGAAAGAAAAGGTTTATTTAGGATTAGTGCCATAGAGACTGCCATAATTGTATACCTTATTTGTGTTCATAATACTTTTATATTCTTATTTTTATTCTACTAGAAATAAATTTGCTCCTTTCTTGAGCAATGTATTTGTTTCTCTCTGGTTCAAGAGGAAAAATACTGCTTGATTCCTTGTTCAAAATAAAACAGAGTGGGGCAGACTTACAGAGACACTATGTGACCATATTCTAAAATACTTAAAAGCTAAGAAGACACAGGGATTGTGCTTACTCTCCTTGTAGAAAGTGTCTCATTCAAGCCTGCATCCTTGCCAAGATTACAGGTTCTCCTGGTGAGATCTGGTTTGTGCCTAATAGCTTTTTACTCAACATGTAAAGAGTTTGCTTTTAGGTATTGCAGATTTGAAATCAGACAGTGTTGGAGATGACCACAGAGACCAGATATTCTATTTTGGCACCCTAAGGCACAGATACTGTTCCTGATGAGAAATTATCATGATCTTTCATTTTCAACAGCTACAGAGAAAGTTGGACTTCATAGTTTTGGGTGGAGAGTTTCTCAGTTCTGTGTCAATGACCTTCACTATAAGGAAACGCTTATTGCTTCATGCTTTGGTTTTTACCCATTGCCTTTATTCAAAAGGCCATTGAAATCAGCTGACCGCTGTCCTCAGAGCATTACAGAAATCTTTTTCAAAAGACTTTGCAGAGTATTGCTTATGCCACATAAAATGCTCAAAATTTAAGATCAAGGGACTGAGAAATACCAAGTAAGATTTACCATTAAAAGAGTGGGCTTTTAAGATGCAGGCAACATGTTCACATACAAACTGTGAGGCAAATCTCACAATTCCAGAGGCCTGTTTATCCTAATGTCTGCAAGACCCAGCTGTGATTCCACTTGATATTATCTTAGATACACGCTTTAATGCCTTAAACTATGGCAGCATTAAAATGAAAATAAATGCATAAAAAAATCTAGATGATTAAAGAAGATTTTGACAGTGTTAGGTGTCAGAAAGCAAGAGCAAAGGAAGTACAGCTCAAGTGACTGAGTACATTTATCATGAAGGCATTTGACTAAATTAAGTGGATCACAGTGGACTCAGATATATACCTAAGACAGTCACAAAACTTAGCTAGCATGAAATGAAGATTTTCCTTGGAAATCAGAGCTGTCCTACATTTTCTTCATGTACCTACCGCTTCTGGCAAAGTGACTTGCTAGGACCACAGGAAAAGTACAGAGTTCATATTTCATCAGTCAGCCAGCAGGACAGAAGACAGTCATCACACATCTCCTCAGTCCTTTCACTCTTGCTCTTAAGTTTAGTTCTCAACATTACAACATCCACATCAAGGAGGTAGCCTTAGATTTCACCCACTTCGGTATTTCCTGCTACAACATCCGGTAGCAGAAAAGAACTGAGCTATACAGTGAAGATAAGTAACTTCAGTTCACAAATACATTTTCTCCTGTATTTGTTTCTATTTTATGTGGGCTGAGAAGTGTGAATCAGGAGGCCAGTGTTTATTGAGCAGAGAGGGGACTCTAGAATGTGAGTTCTTCAAGTAAATTTAGAGAGATGGGACAGGTAAAAGCTGGAACCCAATACTGAATATGGAATTGTTAACTTTCAAATTTCAATGTGATTAAGAAATTTAAAAAAAACTCACATTTGCCACTTAATTTTACTTCTTTTTCTGGTGGTACAGGAATTTGGGCTTAGTGTCTCACATTTGCTAGGCAAGTGCTCTACCACATGAGTCACACCCTTTAGTTATTCTTCAGGTAGGGTCTAGCATTTATGCACACCCATTCTGCATGGCAGGTGTGCACCATAATATCCAGATTTTTTTTATTATTGTTGAGATGAGGTCTCACTAATATTTTTGTCTGGACTGGCTTAGAATCATGATCCTTCTGATCTCTGTCTCCTGAATAGCTGGGATTACAGGTGTTAATTTTACTTCTAAGTGGCTAAATTATTTATTTAATATTTCCCTTGGTTGAGAAAATACTCCTTTCAAAGATAAGAGATCTCCTTTAGTAACCCAAATTGTTAGGAAATCAATTTACTCTCAGAAATATTATCACTCAATTGTTGAATTTTGCATGAAAAGAGCATTGTATGGATTCAAGCAAATAAGTAATTTGCAATCAATTGTTATTTTGCAATTTATATTTATCAATAAACTACTTTGTAATAAGTCAAATATAAAACCATTCACACAGGAGATAAATAGAAAATGATTAAATGTATTCTAGAGAGTGTATACATTTCAGAACTCTTAGATATATGAGAAGGGCTCATAAGATATGTAACTGATTGGTTTATGCACCTATCATAATTTAGATAGCTAATAATTACTACCATTTCCAAAGTAGTGTCTCTGTGCCACATCAGTGAGAAATAAGTCTTGGTTACTATAAGCTGCTGAAAATTTGGGGCTGTCTGTTGCTATGGTAAAAATTAATGAATATGTCAAATTTCATATTTTCTTTTTTTTCCTTGTTTTTTATTTTGTTTTCACTTGTTTGTTTGAATTGCCTTTAGACTATGGAATGCTTGTTTTAAACATCTCCAGTGGTAGCCCTTCAGGAACAACCTAATGTGATAGTTAACTTTGATTATCTATTTGATTGGATGGAGAAACTCCTAGGAGGTTAATAGAGTACAGCTCTGGGTGTGTCTGTGATGGAACTTCCAGAGACGATAAGATCACGAGTGTTCTGAATTAGTGAGGGAGTAATCTCTTGATGGATTCATACTATGATGCCATTATTGGAAGGTGGTGAAAGGTATGAGGTGGAGTCTCCCTTGGAAGTAAGTCACTAGGGACATGTGATTAGGGCTATATCCGCCCTGGACTCTTTCTAGATCCCCTTTTTCTCTGCTTCCTGTTCACCAAGAAGCGAAGAACAGCCTTTGACACACAGTCCCATTGTCATGAGGTTCTGCCCAGGTGCATGGGATCAAGTGATCATGGAGTGATCCCTCTGAAACTGTGAGCGAAATGAATCCTTCCTACTTTAAATTGTTCATGTCAGGTATTTTGTCCACAGAGATGAGAAAGCTAACAACACACCTAATCACTGAAAATAAACAAAATCATCTGGGGCCAAGTTTAGTGAATTAGATGAGTGATCAATTTCAATATACTACTTCAGATAATAAAACATCTAACAAGTGATAAAGTTGGCTTTC